CTTTTATTTTTCTTTTGCGTTTTCATGATAGAAATTCTTTCATTTTATGTGTCTTATATTCAATTAGTTTATTCTATTTCTATGCATATTTGTAACTTTCAGTGTTGTAAGTAGTAATCTAACTAATATTATAAATGCAAAAGTTTAGATGGATGGATGAATGGATGGATGTTTGTTAGAGTTTGAAGCCTAAACGGCTAAACGGATCTGGATGAAATTTGGCATAAATGTAGAGCAGAGTATGGAATAATACATAGGCTACTTACATTTGTTTTTTTTAATACCACGCGGACGGAGTCGCGGGAGAAAGCTAGTCAGTAAATAAATCTTTAAACAGTGCTTAATTTTGATATTACCATTGCAAATAGAAATGATAGAATAGGAATTGATACCCGTATTACGTATTGAGCCGGTAATCAAATATTAACTGATTCGGAAACTTTCAGCCTTCGACTGAGCGGAATTAAAGTTGTGACGTCATTTAACTATTTAGATAGACACCGACATAGTTGTTACAAAACATTTCGAGTTGATTGCACTTACTTCGTTGAATTTTATTGAACCCTATTGTCTATAATAATAAGGCCTTTATTGCTGAAGACTTTTATTACAATTATTCTTAATAGTTATTTACATTTTTGGTTCAAAAATATATTTTGAACCGGCGACTCTTATCCGTAATCTACAGCTTGTCCTGTTGTCTATACTAATATTATGAAGAATAAATATTTTTTTACATAAGTATTGAAATTACTCAAATTACTTAAAAACTACTAGGCTGATTTACAATTCTTTCACTATTAAAAAGCTACGTTATCACTGAGTAACATAGGCTATGTTATTTACTATTCCTTAATTTCACTAGGACGAAGTCGCTAGAAACAGCAAGTATTAAAATTAAGCATTTAACGTAAATATATATTGTTTTACGTTGAGTTTATTATTTTTAATGGTCTAAGATTCTAGAACTAGCAAGTCATAGTTTACGAAGTTTAAGTTTACGAAGCGGCGTATTTAAAAAGCGTTTCAGTATTGAGCCCTTAGTGAGCCTTTAGTAGGGAGATGCAAGTTTTAGATAACGGACTGATGTGTAGGAAAAAATACCTATCTTTTATAATAACTTGGGAATTTTGCGTTAGTTTTTTTTCGAATTCCGTTTCATTGCTGTACTGAAAAATAGAACTGAACAATTTAAATTGTTTCGATTCTTGTTGATAACTACAATGGTTATAGATAATTGAAAAATGACAGGAAACCAGCCTTTTCTTTATATGCGTGGAGACAAAAAAGGACATTGAGATAATTGAAAACATGTGGTAGTGTTCTTATTAACATATTAAAATAGAGACAGACATATTAACTGTGGAGAATTCTTTATTAAGAATTTCTACGTTTATATCTTACTAACTGATCTTGCATGATAAAGTATCAGAAAAAAATCGAAAATGTCAAGACAATGTACATTAGCTATTGACCTCTATAAATGGGTAGGCTAAAGACGTGGTGTTTTGTTTTTCGTCACCTAGGCGCTAACGATCTCGGTTAATCGGTTGTGAGAATTGATACGAATAAAAAATATATTAAGTGGCGCGTTAAAGTAGGAATGAAGGAAAGGTATTTCCAGGACCTATCCTTTTATACAGATTAGAGATCAGAGCACGTGAAATCCACTGTCAATTGTTTTGATATATATTGTTCTTTCTTTTAATGTGTAAGAGTGAGATGAAATATGATTTTATACAACTATTTCATCCGTCTAAGGTCATCGTAATATCAACAAACTTACAAAGATTGAAAATTGACTTTTGTGTTCCACTTGACGCCTCTTTGTACCTTGTATACTTTTACTTTATTATTATGTAAATGAACCATCAAAAAGATCTTTGTATATTTAAATTCTAGACAGAATCCCGGTTCAAATCTATACAATATTTACTCGAAGCCCGCATTTTATGTAGAATTTTAGCTACAATTTTTCGCAGCTCTGTTCCTAACTCTAAACTCTGGTTTTTCTTTTCAATTTTTTACTTTCAAACAAAAACAAAATCCATCGAAATCGGGCTTCGTAGTTTTCGTGCCAACTGGAATACATAGACAGAGGTAACTGTGTCGGAAAAATACAAAAGTTATTGAACATTTATTATAGAAATGATGAAAAAGTAACTAATGGAGTAACGGCATTTCAAGGTTCAGTTTTAACTAAAGTATTAAAATGTTCAGTTAAAACTGTGCGCTTGTAGTTAAAGTCTTCACCAGTGCAACTGAAAAATTAAATTTCACCTACACATGCTCAGTGTTAACTGAACAGTTCGACTCTACGGTTTTAATAATGATATTGTTTTATTTGATTTTTTTATTCATATTTTCGGTACAAAAACCTACGCCAGTGGTATGGAAAGAGTACCCGTTCATTTTTCGGAGCCGCGGTGTCAAGAACGCAAGTCGCCCTGATCGCCGACCCTCAAAAGAACATGGCACTTTAAGAAGATACATATTTTATTGAATTTAAAGTTGCTCATAGCTCATGATGCCGTGGAGCCATCACCTTTGGCAGCCAAGCGCGTTATAGCTATCCGATTCTCTAGAAACATGATTTTTAATTCAGTTCGACTCTTTAGTTATAATTGAGTACTTAAGGGACTTTTATGTTAAAAAGTTAAAATTATCATCATTATCACCACCATCACCAGCTCACTATACGTCCCCATTGAGGGGCTCGGAGGCTACCCTAAGTTAGGGTGACTGTAAAAGTGTTTATTATCCGTAAAATATAAGAAAGTAGCTGTTCCCGTGCGGGTTCATCCGCATGTAATTATGAAAATTTTATTTTATCGTTTACATATGTCAAATTATCAATAGCAAATGTCAACATGACATGACAAACGTTAGCAATCTTGCTTTCTTGATCTTGACAGCAACTTATGGTCTCTTTCCCACATTTTCCCCTAAGTTTAATGTCTTGAAAATATATTGCCTAAAGCGTGACGTAAGTGTAGGGCTTTTTATTAAAAAAATAACTATTCAAAAATATGCTGTAATTGCTGATAGCTTAGGCAACAGAGAAGTGTGTGTTTACGCTTTATTATATTAGTATAGAAGTATAGATTAAAGAAATTCGAAGACCTAATTACCAAATAAGATAGTAAGAAAAAGATCGATTAAAAAATAAACTTTTTCAGCCAATAATCGGATTACTTAAATCATTAACTATTATAAAATAGTGATGAGGAAACATTTTGATAAGCTATTATCGACAATTTAAAGTCGAATTTGATAGATAATTTTTTAAAGAATTTGATGTATTTTATTTCTAACTTCTGTGTTTTGTGCTTACATATGTCTATGAAATTAGTTCTCATGACGGAATAATCTTAAAAAGAACACTTGGTGAGAAGTCTGATGATGTTTCAATTCAAGATCTCGACGTCAAATGTAGTCAAGTAAAGTCCAAATTTTACAGTTAACAAGTAGGAAGAACAACGTTTTGGAATCGTAAGTTCTAAGAAATTAGTTAATACGTTTGAAAAACATTCAGAACCCTAAACTGTAATGTTTAGTTAAAAAAAACAATCCTTTTAAGTGATATGCAAAAACGTAACGTAACAAAAACGTAAAAATAAAATTTAGGACTGTGCTGTTAAAATAATGGGCTGTGGTTCCGTAATTTTTACCTAATAAAGATGGGATCAATTTAAAAAAAATTGTAATTTTGCAAAAGGTACATTTTAAATCATCAAACGCGCCTGTTGTGTTTATGAACATTATTATAATTTATAATTTATTCTTTACTTAGATCACAAGAAAGTGTATTCTAGTTTTTGGTGACGGCAATAAAGCCGGTTTCGTTTTTTTTTATAATTTTTTAGAAAAAAAAAAATTGTGCAGCAATAAGGTATTGGCGCCAGTTAGTCTCTAGGATAGACTAAAACTTTATGACTTTGCTGTATGACGTCTTGAAGTGATTTTCTCTATTTCATGCATTCTTAGTCGTGGTATTTATTATTTCCATTTTCATCTTAGTATGCAAGTTAGCTATGAAATTATAAAATGCGCTGAACCAAGTTTGCTGTTAACTTTATAGAAACTTTTTAGTATTGATTAATGTATTAAAAGCAGCAAATTAAACTTTTAGTGCTTCTTTTAGTAAGTCGTAATGACTTTCAAAGATTTTTAATTAAACTTTAAGTCTATCGATTGTAATGTATTATTAGAAGTTTCTCATTTAATCTTAGTTAATTCCTAAAAGTAGTACAATCGGTCAAGGTGCGAGGACATAATCCATTCAAATGCAGCGGGAGCTAAGCGGGGGCTGCGGAGTGATGCGTCCGGATCGGCAATGCGGCCCGATAATGCATTGTCCAGTCCCGCACTCCCCAAAATACAGCACGCGAAAAAAGCCCGGCTCACTATCTCCCACCGGCGTTAATGTCCCACCCCCCCGCTCGCACTAACAATCTTTTTTTTTAATACATAACTTTTTTTCAAGATGCATTTTTACATGTTTCGGCCTAAAACTTTACGCAGCCAACAGCGCGGGGCGAGCGCGGGCCCGCCTCTCGCGAGCGGGCGTCTCGCTCGGCCGCTGCGCCGCCGGCCGCACGAGCGACACGACCCACACGGCCCGAACACTCTGCGTCTTAAACTAAGATTAAGGCTCCATTTCGATTTTCCTAACGCGATCTCTTGACCGGACGCATCTCACATCCGACTCGACCGCGTCCGCGTCTTCATCAAACGTTGCCTTATATTAAATAATTAAAAAATAATAATTAAAAATTCTATTCGCCTGAAAGTCGTCTATGTGTCTCACTCTAGCGTCCGGTCCGAAGGCATTCGCGCCACGACAATTGAGTTGAGTTGAATTGAATCGAGTCGGTTAAACCGTAAAAATTGTACGGGCGGGCTAGCCGCGCTAGAGCGAGACGGACGGAAGGCGGGTTGGCCGAGACCGCTGCCTTCTTCTCAACTTAGCCGAGCGGCGGCGGCGGTGGCTAGTAAACGTCGGCGTTCTGGCGCGGTCGGCCGTGTTTGTGTTCGCTCGTGTCACGGCCACAGAGTAAAAATAACATTTCGCGCGTCTTTTGACAGCTAATTCGAAAGTTTCCGGTGCGTTCGGAAATCTTAGCCGAGTCACAAGTGTCGTTCTTAGAACGGAATCGAAGGATATTGGAGAGGTAATTTGCAGTGTTAATTATCGGCTCGCGGTGGCCGTTTGAGACGCTACAGTCTGATGAATCAGCGAACGCCGGCTAATTAACAGCGCAGCTACGAAAACAAATCTTGACGCCTTCAACTGCCGCTTTGTATTGTAAGTACTTGTCTAAAGTGATACACGTTACATTACACAATATTTTAGTAATAGTTCATGTGACGATATACTTTATTCTTTAAAAAATATAATTATAATTACTGACAATCAATATCCACTTACGAATTTGACTTATTAAAACGATTACAATTTTGTTAATTTCATTTAACTTGATTACGTCAATATTCGTCGTTCGATTTTTAAAAATCTTGTAAGAACAAAACTTTTTTAACTTCTCCTCGACATTTGACAGTTGTCAACCTTCTGCCGACACTGATGGCCGCTTTGTTGTAAATTAAAAGAAAAAAGTTTGATTAAAAAAAAAGTTTTGTTGTTTTTTTTGTCGCGATAAAGTGTAAAAGGTGTCTACGGGGCGGGGCGTGCGCGGCACAAACAGCTGATTGGTTCGAACTCGTCATGTGTTCGGTTTTTCGTAGGTATTACACACGTATTTGTTTAAATTTTACCCGACCGGCCATCGATAGTGTGTCTCAAAAAGCACGTGCACCTAAACATTAACTCAAAAATCGTTTAACAACCACGTAATTTCACTTATCAAATCAGGTAAGCTACTTCATACAGTTTATTCTTATGTCAAGTAAAAGGACAAAGCAAAATTAGTAACTTAACCTGTTAGTATAACTATTTAAGAGACCAACTTATATTGTCAAAAAATCGAAAAATCATGTTTACTCAAAAATGGTTAACTTTTGTAAATAATGCATATGGGGGTCAAAGTTGTCACGGATGAACCCCTTCTATCACGACTGAAATGTCAAAATTCAAATCCACAAATAACAATTCCTTTCTTGATGTTGGCAGCAACTTATGGCCTCTTTCCCAAATTAGGATTTTTATCCAAAATATTTTACCCCCTAAGTTAAATGACGTGAAAATATATAGCCTTAAGCGTGACGTAAGTGTAGGGTTTTATTAAAAAAAATATTCTAAAACATGCTGTAATTGCTGACATCTTAGGCAACAAAGAAGTGTGTGTTTACGCTTTATTATAATAGTATAGATTATAGATATTGTAAAAAATGTGTATCGAATTAAATAAGGCTAAATAAATAAAAATGTTCCTAGATTATTAAAATTTAAACACTGAAATTTTTCAATACAAATCTATAGATAATAAATTGCATTGTAAGCTATTAAATATAATATAATTTCTTATTTCAAAAATTAAAAATAATATTAATTTTAATCCTAAGACCTTCATCACACATCTCATATGTAAACTAATAAAAAAAATTGTGTAGTACTGAAATTTCTACTAAACTAAACTAAATTACAAATCTTAAAAATCTTACAAAACAAGTACCAAAACTTCTAACCAAAGAAACGTCAAATTTTATACAAAATTTTATCAAAAATTAACCTTTCTGTTAATAGTTAGATAAACGGCCGAACATTGAAACGAATTATAAACACTTCTTCGTAAACACCTTTTACAATCTGACACTTTAACATTGAAATGTAATTTGAAGTTTAAATGTGGCCTTATCAGACACTGTTACAAATAAAATTGTCGGTTCAGTATTCGGACGATTTTTTAATAAAATAAATATCTAATGTTATATAGTGGTTTTAGAAAAAGGGTTTTTCTGGAAACATTAAAGAACTAGCGATACATGTAAGACGCATACATTGTAGATAGAGAACATTTGGGCTTCAGTCTGGAACAAGACATAATAGTATTCTAATAAATGAAATAGTTTTTTGAGAATAACAATCTGCTTGTTGCAAATTTATCAAATTTTATTGACAGTAATCTTATACCAGCCGTAATAACATTTTTATTTCTTTCATTATCTTCATTATCCTGAGATAACAATAGATTTTTATAAAATGTGCATTAGAAACCCACTATTACATCAACTGTGATAAAATATTGAATTGTCCATAAACATATCCCAATATCACCCTGACCACAATATGAAAGATATTAAATTGATTGTATAGTTAAATTTACGATCAATTATTAATAATAATTAATTCAATTACATTAATAATACATTAATTTTTATTATTCAGTGAACAAAAACCGTTTCATTTAGCGAAATATCCATATTTATTTCCCAACAGTATTAAAATAATTTGTTTCCATCTAAAGTGGAAACTTACATTGTGATAGCCTGACCTTGTATTAAAATGTCATCAGAATGTTAATAAAAATAACTATTATCACTATCAATTTATATGCATATTTAACTGTTTGAAGTATACTAGATTACTTACACACTTCCCCATCATCATCCCCCCTTATTCTATTCCCGTAGGGAGCAACAGGTTTTTGTCCTCCACGTATCTCTTGTCATCTGTCATCTCGGTCATCACTCCCATCTTGATCATATCACTCTTCACGCAATCCATCTCTTTCTTAGTCTACCTCTACCGGTGTACTACACTCATAACTAACTCAACACACTTCCGTTAACAAATTATATAGGAAACTAGTTGTTGCCCGATATTTCGTCAACAATATTAAGATAAAAAAGCCTATAAGAGCACGTCTATGTCACCTACTCTTTAGTAAAAGTCTGGTCGAAATTGGCCCAGCCATTTTGGAGTACCCGGAATACGATTTTCCTCATCAGCAAAGCAACTTCTTCCCGAAATTTGGAATTTTTCTTTTGATATTACAATCAGATACTTCAATTTTATTACATCTATAGAGGATAATCAAAACAGGAAATAAACTTAAAAAACGAAAGAATTATTTCATGTCACATCTTTAAAAAGTTTACGCGTCATTTCCCGCCAACTTTATTATTGTGAATCACACGAAATAAATTTATAAATCATTTCATATTCCTAGTTGAGGATTAATTTGTCCTCATTCTAAAGCACTGTATCGCCAATTGTTGTAAGCAGTATGTTTGCCGGCCATCCGTTTTTTAACATTAAGACGTTTCGAGTGGAAACATCGCGCCATTTTACGACACGGAATACCGTCTGACATCAACTTTTATAACCGTTTGAACAATTACGTCTAATCAGAGCCTCTTCCATCCCGCTCTTGACCCACCAGATCGCCGCGTGTGTGAGTAGGACGACCTGATCCACTCAGCTACGCCCATCAATGTCTAATTGCTTTTATTATTTTAAGGCATCGTAATCATTATGGCCGCAATAAAAATTGTAATTACTTCTCATTAGTTCAATTAAGAATTTTCTAGACACGGTATAGTTGATATGATTGCGAAACGGTTCGATCTAGTGATGCATTGTTGAGAAAGTGGCATTTTATTACTCTTGCGCTGGTAACAAGGGAATTGTCTATGGTCTTCGGGTGAAATCCGATTCCGATAATCGATATAATCTTTACGAGCGTCAGACACGGCTTATATCAATCAACATTAATGATCGCTCGAAATATGGAACTAATCGATGTTTTTTAATTTTTAATATCCATAAGTTTAAAACGTTTTATAGAACATTTGTGAACGCCGACACTGGTAAAGCTATTCCAATGTAATAATTTTAATTTAACTATTCTTAGAAACCACATTCAATCAATCACTAAATAAAAGTACTTATTCAGTCTTAAAACTCTTGGGAAAACTATTATTTAATAACTTTAAAGACCCACTTTTGAAAAAAGACCTCCTATGCATATTAAAATCAATCTAAACATATCTCGATAATGCAATGTTTTTATTTGTAATAAAATTATCATTCAAAACGGCACTAGTAATTCGCTACAACCGTCAATAAATTAATTTTTATTTCAATCGCGTTTAAGTTACAAAAATTGAATATTAAAAATCAATTACATTAATATTCTAGCGGTCAATTCATTCGCATAAACAATAATATTAAATTGTTAATTTCAAATATATTTTAACCTCTTTGTACGTATTTATTATTGGCCACAAACAAAAAAGAAACATCACTTACATACTGGCTATACGCAATGACAAATGATAAAAAAATATAAAAGTTTCCGCACGGCGTCGGAGCGAGGGAAACTTGAGGTAAAAAGTTTGAGGCACGTGACTAACACGTGGTCTTGAGTGAAAAATCCGCGCAGCCCCGGCTCCTTGCGCCGCCCCCTCCCACGCCGCGTCACCCCGCCCGCCCCGCAAGGACTTGAGGTTCAACCTCCGTGATAAGCGTTAGCGATTACTACAACAGGAAAAATGACATAAACAATAAATCTATACTAATATTATAAAGGGGAAAGATATGCATTTTTATGTATTTTAATAATTCAAAAGCTATTGGACCTATTTCAAAAAATCTTTTACCGTTTAAAAGCTACGTTATCAGTGAATAACATAGGCTACATTTTTATGGGCGAAGTTGCGAGCGACATCTAGTAAACTATAACATATTGTATCGTTTGTTACTTATATTAACTATTTATTATTATTATCTTATTAATTTTGTTTTATTTTAGTAAGGTTATATTTAATGTCGATATTTAAAATATATTTTTATATTGTTAAATATAATGACTTTTAAATAATTTTATTTCAAAAACTAAATGTAAACACAAGTAATGTTAAATTATTTTTAAAGCATTATTATGGCAACACAGTCTACTGTCATGTCATGCCAGTAGGGCAATCTAACTTAAGAAAAACTTTATCCGCTTAAGCTAATAAGCGCGTGGGCTTAGATTTAAATCTGTCGCAATCTAAAGGTTTTCTACGGAAGTACTTTCACTTGTTTAGTTTAGTTTTAAATTTCATGTTATTTTAAGAGTTGCCAGTATTTGATTTGCATAACTGTTACTTTTGAGGTTATTTTAAGGTAAAAAACATTTAAATACTTTTAAGAGTTATTAATTAAATCATGTTATGATCTTTCTGTTTCATCAAAAAATATCAAAAAGTTTATGTTTAAGTAAGTGAAAAGGATCACGATGTATCAATCCATCTGTACCTACGTAATTAGAAGATGAAAATCCGAATAACCTTGGGTTTGATTAATAAAATAGCAGATCAACTGATAGGTAAAACAAAAAAATCGTACTTCATACTCATACTAATGTCCTAAATGCGAAATAGATGGATGGATGTTTGTTAGAGTTTGTAATTTAAATGGCTTAACGAATTACGATGAAATTTGGCATAGAAGTAAAGGATAGTTTGAAAGAACACTTAGGCTAATGGCTTTTGTTTTTTTTATTCCATACTCGAGGAGTCGCGGGAAAGCTAGTACAGTTATAATTATGGGTTCCCATTTTCTAAAAATGTGTATTTATTTGACAGTAACGTGAAAGGCAGCGGCCGGCAGCAAGCTGTTTTACCCTTATCTGAAGACGTCCTCCCTGCACAGGGACTTCCTGTTTGCCAGTGGCTCCGGTAAGTATTTCATATAACATTCTTACTATTGTTAGCAAGACAGCAGTCAAAAGGTTAAGGGGACAAACGAGTCAGGTCTTAATTGTAACGTTTCATCAATGGGGGGTAATGTATTACATTTCATGCAAAATAAATAAAGTAATGTTTGACCACACATATTGTTATGTGGTCGAATGCTTAAGGCTATAAAATTAAACTCTAAAAGATGGTAAAAATATCATATCTAAAGTCGCTTACACAGTCATTTTTAACTATAGATGTATAGGGCTTAAAGTGTATGTAGGAAACATTATAACAGTACAGTTCCACTGTTTGTTTAACATAAACAAATTAATCTTCATTGATAAGAAAAGCCTCCACAGTAAACACGAGCCTCATGCGGACAAGAAGCCTTCGCTAGCAATTTTTTTATTATTTACTAGCTGTTCTCCTGCGGCTTCATCCGCATGAAATTATGAAAATTTTATTTTATTGTTTACATTTGTCAAATTGTCAATAGCAAATGTCAAAATGACATGACATGACAAACCTTAGCAATCTTGCTTTCTTGATGTTGGCAGCAACTTATGGTCTCTTTCCCACATTAGGGTTTTTATTCAAAATATCTACCCCCTAAGTTTAATGGCGAGGAAATATATAGCCTAAAGCATGACGTAAGTGTAGGGCTTTTTATTAAAAAAAGGATTATTCAAAACTATGCTGCAATTTCTGACATCTTAGACAACGAAGAAGTGTGTGTTTACACTTTATTATATTAGTATAGATTTCTTCAGGACTGAAGTTTTATAAAGCCATATTGCCTTAATGGTCTCTTAATATACCAATGATTAATATTGTAATTATTTTATAGTAGTGGCAACCCTAATAGGGTTCAAAAAAACAAATAAATAACACATAACAGTTACCGTTTCACACATCTATAGAATGCTTTATAATCTTGTACTCGATCCCTCCGTAACGCTTATAAAAGTCCATAAAAACTATTAACTATGAATTATGTGTGTTTCTTTACTGTTCTTAACGAGTGATTCCTATCTATTTAAGATAGCAGCATAAGGAAAAAGTACTGTTAAAAATGAATATGCAATTAAAAGGATCAAAAGAATATTTTGTTATGAAATGGTTGTAGTGAAGAAAAATATTTTTTTAATTATTCAATCGATTTTTAAACCCTTTAATGTATTCTGAATGCTTTTTAGTATGAACATCAATAATAGTTTATGTAATGACTTTTCTTCGGAATGTTTTTTAAGCATATTTGAAGAGTTTTATTATTTTCTATTTGATGTTTTATTGAAATTGTACTTAAATGTTTATTAACGTTGTAACCCACATTTAAAGTATCAGGTTTAATTCTTATAATATCACTAGTGGAAATAAAACAATCATCTTGGTTAAAACCTCGTTATTTGCACTCGAAAATGCTAAGTTTCTTTGCAGTTTATAGTACAAAGCATATCAAAACCACTTATTAACACTTTCCATACTACTGATTCCTAAGTTCACATTAAGAGCGGGCGCACATTTTTGACTAAACTATTTCATAACTGTTGTGCGATTGTCGATTGTTTCAGTCAATTCAACTGTTTATTTGCACTAAAATCGAGTATTGTGCACCTCTATATGACCTAATAGGAATCGAAAACGACTGAAGTTGTTCAATAGTTTAGTCAATGCGTAAAATTGATGACATTATCTGATAAATAATGTCTGAATGTTTGTGTTATAACTCATGTAATAAAAGCTGTGAAATGAAGTGTTAATTACCGCCAACATTGTTAAGATCATAGCGAGAGATGTCGACACGCGACAATATGTCCTAGCGTTGCCAAATTTCTTTATCCAGAGATTTCTAAATTATTCTATAGTACTTAAGTAGTAGATATTGATGTTATAGAAATACTTACGTTTTGTTAAGTTACGGTCAACGTTTCCATGAAAAGCTATTTTAATATTTACATGAATTCGAAAATTATAATTCTATGTTCCCATTTGCACTTCAATTCGTATGAAATGTTTATAACAAAGCCGTTGCAATACCAACACTGAATGATGAACATTGGTGAGCGTCTTTAAAGTTTAATTTTAGACAGCGCTCGCCGCGGCGAGGTTCAGTCGACTGCGCGATTAGATCGCCTCCGAGAACCGGCCATAAATTCAACCCTAAAACAACCGCTCTGTTTAGTTTGGAAGCACCATCCCAGTAATTATACAATAATTCATACTTTAATAAATACTAATAAATCGTTCCCTCAGCGCCGTCGCCGCATCGCATTATCGGCCATTATTACACGATGTAATTACAGACGATAAATTACCAAATAATACATCAATCAGACGTGTTATAATTTCGTTATTATTTTTTTTCTACTCTTCGGTATTATTTTATCGAGCGGTGGGCAATTTTATTAAAATTATAATGCGGCGCGCGGCATAAATTGGGGTAGCTTCGGGCTAACCCGAGCTTTAATTATATACGTAATATTTAATGATATACTCTCATAATAAGCTACCTGATATTCATGGTGGGCATAAATCAAATATTTCATTAAATTTCTCGAATCGGCCGCAACCCTTCAGTCGGATGCTGTTATTAGTCTGGTATAGGATTGCTCGCGGAATCTTGCCTCAAAGCCGGTCTACTTTTTAGCTGGTAAATTTCTGGTGACGTTGATGAATGGGACCGATTTGAAGCGTGCATAATTGCGGTTTTGCCAATTTTATATTGTTCACCTGAAGCCGGTTATTTATTCTAATAGGGTAAACAATTTGATCGTTGATAAAAAAAAGAATTAATCTTTTAATTTTGTTTATATTGAATTTCATATGCTAATAATAGTAGTAGATTTGTTATGTAACTTTTTTGCCCTTTGGTTATGAAAGAAAACGTTTGTTTTGAGACTGGAAACTTAACCTATAAAACTCATGTCATCACCTCTTAAAGAATCTACTCATCAAAGTATAACAATCATTAGTTTTACAACTGAAACTGAAAAATTATGTACGTTTTCATAAATTAATTGAAAGGTAAAGTTGCTTCGTTTGTTGTAATTTGGGAAACTGCAGAACTAATAGAAAACATTCTCGGTATTTCGCTACTCTCTGTTTTAACAAAGACTACTTTTTTTTAACAAAACAATAATTTAAACTTCTATACACTAGGGAAATTCGTAACTATAGGATTCACATAAAAAATATACAAAATCCATTAGAATTGAATGTACACACTTATCTCTATCTTTAACAATTTTTAGAACACTTTAGATTTCACCAAAAAATAGCATTTATTTTACTCAGATTTGTGATTAATCAGAATCCTTTTAAAAATTCGTTATTTTTCTGACCCTAACTACTTTTTAATATTTGAGAACTATGACGTCACAACACAGGTCAGATTATTGCTTGTATTTGCGATTGAAATTGGACCTTTTTATATATGCATTGCACGCGACTTTTTCCGCACGTAATTAAAAAAAAAACTTAACGAGAACTTATGGATCCAGTATATCTTTTATATGTTTTACATCTGTGCGAGATCCGTTAAGCCGTTTGAGATACATTGTAACATATATCCATCCAAACTTTGTATGAATTATGATTATAGAATGCTTAGCTTCATAGATAGCGATTTAAGTGCTGCCATCTATTCTTTTTAACGTCATATACGTAGATGTAATTGTATTAAATCATAGTAATACAAACACAGAGTACCAATTAGTTAAATAAGTCGGAAGCAGATACTTGCTTGGTGCCGTCATTACGTTGTCAATTTAGGGAGCAAATTTTAACAATCGCTATAAGCACTTACATCCTCCTATTGAAATAGTAATAGTAAATAGAACGAGGGAACTTGATTAGTCAAGGCTTTAAAGCAAAGCACGATATTAGATACAGTCAAAGAATTATATTTGCTTACCACTTGGGATAGAAAACATAGCAAACTGACAAGTTTTCGGTTTAATTGCATGGTGGACATTAAATGATTTTATACCAATCAGTAGGAATAAATGACCTCTACTGTATTAGGTAGTTTTTTTTCGTTATATGTGTCTTCAGAAAAAAAATCTTCCAAGTCCATTTCTAATCGACTTCCCAAAAGAAGGATGTACTCAATTCGTATGTATGTTTTTTTTTATTTTTTTCAAACGAACCTGAGTCAATATTAGAGCGCGCGCACACCTTTGACTAAACTATAGCACAACTGTTGTGCGATTGTCGATTGTTTCGCAGCCAATTCAACTGTTTAGTTGCATAATCGTAGTGTGTTCACCTCCCAAGCTCATAGGAATCAAATCGCGACTAAACAATTATGCGATAGTTAACTCAAAGGTCGTAGTATATTATTTATCCTGTTAGAGTTGCGTTTTGTAAAGACAAAAATCATACGCGGATACAATTAGCGCTTTAATCAATTTATTGTATTTATTTCCCAACCTGTCCTCATAAATAAGCACAAGGTTATACGTGATTTACGAAATTTAATATAATTAAGGAAATATGCGTCATTATGCGATATGAATTTAACAAATATTATGTCAAATATGTTGATATTATCTTGTTATATTATTAAGAAGATTCGTATTTTTGTATGTATTGAAATAACTCAAAAACAACTGGGCCGATTTTAAAAATTCCTTCACCTTCAGAAAGGTAATTTATGTATGAGTAACATAGGCTATATCTTATTATTACTAATCTTAGGAACTATTAATAATTAATAATACTTTTGGTAATAGGTTGACAAAAGGGCGAACGTAAGTTTTGAACTTTAAAATATTACGCTTATGAAGTCGCGGGCAACAGCTGGTATATCATAAAAAGCTACCTTACTGAATATAATAGGCTATATTTTTAATTTCACGTGGACGAAGTCGTGAGCAATATCTAGTCGCACATAATACCATCATTTATCAATCTATTTTTTTTATGGCCAGTGACTGATTTTACTTTTAATATACTAATTTTAATTGCGTGCAAAATAAAAAAAAAATTATGTTATCTGCGATAGTTCGAACAGTCTTGTTCTTATAGAGTCCATACTAAAAGATCTATTTAAAGTCTATTTAATTAACCTCTTTAAAGTGTTATGCACGTATTAACTCATAATTACTACATTTTCCTTACATGAGACTAAAAATGTCGTAACGTGTTTAACAATGTTTTTTTACCTGGGGTTTCCCTGTACAATCTTGAACGAAACTAAAACCTTTAGGACCATTAAATATAGGAATGTACATATGTTTTAAAAAGTAAGAAAAGGTAAGGTTATAAGACTGTTTCCAACGAACCTTGTAGAAAAAGCGTGTGGTGGTAATGTATTTTATGTTTCGTAAGAAGTCGCAACAATTCAGTTACTAATTAGAGGTATACCTAGAAAGAGAAAAAGAGATGGATGGATTGCGTGAAAGGTGACATAATCAAGAAGGGAGTGATGACTGAGATGATAGAGTTATTTGAAGGACGAAACCCGGCGCCCCAACCCTACGGGAGTAGAATACTGTAGAGGAGATGCTGACTTCTTCTACGTGTTAGTGGTAGTTTGGGCCTCTTCACTCAAATGCAACTCTTTCAAGCCTTTAAAATAACAGAATCTCACCGTCAGTGTCATCTGTTTCACTCCCGCTTTTTTCTCTTACTAAAGAATATCTCTCCAAACCTCCTACAACTATTCTTTTTCTTATTTCAGAGGCCATTGCAATCACAGCCTTTATGAAAAATGAAAATCCCTATGCGTGGTTATCGAATGAGAGGGACATTGAAACTAGGAGTTATCGTAAGGAACATTTTAATTTTTTTAAACCCAAAGACAAGCTGCGTAGTTAAATAAGAATAAATATTACTATATATTGATAACAGGAACTGTAGGCTTTCACTGACATTTAATAAAGACGTGATTATGACTTGAATTCTCTACGGCCTTAGAAAAAAGAACAACAAGGATAAGGATTCTTATTTATGAGTGTTTTCGATTGGTTTTGAATCTCTTTTTCCAGAAATAGTAAAGCCTCTCTAAGACTTTCTTAGTTCTTGTAACCATATTGGTCATCATTACAGATGTTATCCTTCTGTAGACTATCCATCGATGCTTTAGCTTACTATTCATTAATTTCTTCTTATACCTTATCTGTAATGTATCATGAAATATTTATAACTTCCCGTAATTCGATTATGGAATGTCATATAATACCGGTTCTTAAATCGTAATGACATTAACTTGGTTGTTTTTTCTCTTTGTCGTATTTTAATTGTGACTGAAGATAACGTGAGTTTCATTAACTTCGAATTAATAGCTCATTTGTGACGTTGTTGATATTAACTTTATTATTAAATAAATAATTCTCTTTAATTATTTACGTTTCGTGTAACAGTTTCTTGCGGTATATTACAGTTTGTTTGAATTGATTATTAATTTTTATGAAGAAACGGTATAGCATCTTTAGTTCACTATTTTAAATGTTTGTTGTTTGCTTTGGATAAACATTGTGAAAATAAGTAAAAAGAGCCTGGTTCAAAAATTCGATTAGTTATTTTTTAAAATAGTGATGAAAATAGTTCACTTACGAGTCTCAAGCACTTAAAACTATTTTATTACATTAAAATATCACCTAGAGTCAAGACCATCACCAGCTCACTATACGTCCCCACCGAGGGGCTCGGAGCCTACCCTAATATGGGGTGACTAGGCCATAGTCAACCACGCTGGCCCAGTGCGGGTTGGTTGACTTCACACATCTTTGAATTTCTTCGCCGATATGTGCAGGTTGCATCACGATGTTTTCCTTCACCGTAAGAACGTCGGGTTAATTATGTACATATGAAAATTCGAAAAATCGAAAATCACATTGGTATATGGCGGGAATCGAACCCAAGACCTGTAGATTACAAGTCAAATGTTCAAACCACTGAGCCACCGACGCTATAAGAGAGAGTCAAGACACCTAAACTATAATCTCTATTGATAAATGTTTAAGTCTATGTTTTTTGGTAAGATAATATTTAAAATAAAATAGTAACAGTCTACACACTACTTAGATATGTATGTCAGCAATCATAGTATATCTTTGAATAATCCTTTTTTATAATATAAAGCCCTACACATCTATACTATCATAATAAAGCATAAACACACTTCTTTGTTGCCTAAGATGTCAGCAATTACAGCATGTTTTTGAATAATTCTCTTTTTAATAACAAGCCCTACACTTACGTCACGCTTTAGGCTATATATTTTCACGCCATTAAACTTAGGAGGTAAATATTTTGGAAAAAACCCTAATGTCGGAATGAGACCATAAGTTGCTGCCAACTTCAAAAAAGCAAGGTTGCCATAGTCATCGTGTCACGTCATTTACACATTTGCAATTGATAATTTAACACATGTAAACAATATTATAAAAAATTCATAATTATATGCGGATGAAGTCGCACGAAAACTGCCAACATCAAAGAAACAAGTTTGTCATGGCAACGATGTTTGTTATCCAATATCAAAGGCATTTGTCATTTGTGCATTTGAATTTTGACATTCGCAATTGACAACTCAAATGTAAACAGTAAAGTTTTCATAATTTTATGCGACTGAAGACGCACGGGAACAGTGCATACAAGATAAACAAAACTCTATGCGTGTTAACAATTTGTACGGTACGTCGTGGTAGTTCAATTCGCGAATTATTCAATTGACGACCTTAAGATCTTTATACTGGGTGTTGACAGGAGATGCCAAATTATAGATATCCTGAACACTTGGAGCGTGACACGTGCGTGAATACATGTGACATAGTGATGGTTATGTAAACTATTGTAAGCCACATTGATTTACTCAATGTTTTATGCTGTTTTTAATAACTTGATAAGTGTTAATTATACTTCATCTAATCTAACTTCTAATTAATATTATAGACGCGAAAGTTCGATGGATGGATGTTAGTTAGAGTTTGTAGCCTAAACGACTGAACGGATTTGGGTAAAATTTGGTACAAATGTAGAGGATAGTCTGGAAAAACACATAGGCTACTCACTTTTGTTTTTCTTAATTCCACGCGGACGGAGTAGCGAGCGAAAGCTAGTACTAATAGAAATGCGAAAGTTAAGATGGATATTTGTTAGAGTTGTAAACAGCTGAACGGTTTTGATGGAATTTGGTATAGATGTAGAGGATAGTCTGGAAGAACACACTCATTTCTTTTATTGCACGCGAACGTTGTCGCGGGAGAAAACTGGTTTCTATATAAATGTGAAAATATTGTTATGAAAAAGAATAACTTTAGATTTTGGTTACCCATCATCGTTTATTTTTGATATATTCCAATGCCGTTAGAAATATTACCACTGAGTAACATAGGCTACATTTATGACTAGAAAACTATTGGCAAATATTTTTTTTTACAATTCAGTGATGAAAAGACTATTTAATCTTCATCGCATTTTGCTGAAGTTAAACAACTGTGTATAGTATTTAAACGTTGCTATTAAAATGTTTTCTTGATATCGATGTATGAACGCATCGTTATAAAAAGGCCTCGCAAAGCGCAAGAGCCAAGTTCTAATTAAAATGATTAAGTTAATGGTCTTCGTCATTAGCGATTTTAATTTCAAATAGTCTATTTTTTTGGTCCGTCGCTAATAACAAGTCGACGCAGTTTTACGATTGCTAACGCGATTTTTAACTTTTATGAGCGTTGTGATATTGTTTAAGTTTTAGGGATCAGTGGTAATAAAATTGCATGTGATAAAAATATATTTACTTGAAGTAAAATGTAATAGAACAAACACTTCATTATCAGCTCACTATGCGTCCCTATTGAGGGGCTCGGAGCCTACCCTAAGTAGGTAGGCTACAGTTACGTCGCCCCCCTGCGTGTTGACATCACACCTATCTTTGTATTCCTTCACAGATAGGTGCAGGTTGCATCACGATGTGTTCCTTCACCGAAGTTACAATTGCTCATAGACATCTTCAGTTCATTCAAGTGTTGCAAATCAATTGCCTGACCTTCCAGTCCCTAGAATAGGAATCCTTATTGGAATCGGGTGAAAGGGACGGACGAAATACTTCTACTTTACACCTGTCTTCTTTGTATGTACACTGTTCGTAGAAACAGAACCTTACCTAATTCCATTTACTAAATAAACTCTCTTTCTTTTATAAAATGTAAGTATGATATGGTTTTTTTATTAATGTGTTTTTTAAATTTTGTTTCTTTGTGTTTTTATTTATTTATATGTAACATATTGTGATCATCTTTTTGGTTACTACATAATCTTCTTTTGACTAAGGATAACTAAATTCGAAATTCGAAATCCGTAATTTTAAGTTAAGTTCATTCAAAATTTAAGAATAAATACGAGTACTTGAACTGAAAACATTTGTAGAGAGACAAATTTTCTAAATTATTGTTAAGCCTGTATAATTGACTTAATCAACAATTAAATTATAAGTTGAATTTGCAAATAAAAAGGAATGGATAACTACGAAATAACTGAATTAAATCCTTCATTTGGAGATCTCTGTCTTAGTCCGCGCAGACGGGGGCGCGAAGAGCTACGAAAGTTTAGAGTGACCACCAAAAAAAATTTTGCGTTTCGTTTTAGGTTTGTTATTGTTTTTACATATATATTTTCTTGTTACATTGATTTAAATAGTTAATATGAATTTCAGATTTATTTATAAGTCTTGGTTCGTAATCTATATTAATATTATAAAGAGGAAAGATTTGTATTTTTGTATGTATTGAAATAATTCAAAAACTGCTGGGCCGATTTTAAAAATTTTTTCACCGTTAGAAAGATAATTTATCAGTGAATAACATGGACTATATTTTATAATTTCACGCGAGCGAAGTCGCGAGCAACAGCTAGTATCTTACATTTTACTAATATTATTAATGTGAAAGTTGGAATAGATGAATGTTTCTTAGTACGTATTTAATTATAAAACATTTCGATATCTAAATATTTTATTGACGTGGTAAGATACAAATAAAGTAATACATTTATTTCTGATCTACTTTAGAGTTTCGTAGGTCTATGCTGTAAAGGACCCAGACGGACGTCTGAATGGCGTCTCATTATCTTTAATTATATACTGATTCCTTCGAGAAACTCTCGCTTTACTTGTTGTAAAAGGTTAAAATAAACCTTTATCAGTATTTAGTTATAACAAATTATTGAATTCGTTAAAGTAACGTACAGAAGAATACTCTCAAACTATTATTATTATTATTAATAAGCGATATTTGGATTTCAATCGTTAATACTGAGAACGTATAGTAAAATATACTTTTGTACTATAAATATATAGTGTTACTCTATGCCCATGACGAACTGAGCAATCATGTCGATTCGATTGTATTACGCTTTGAAATCAAACAACTCCAAAACCTAAATGCAAAGCGCATAGAAAAACCTATCTTAAGCTTCATATATCTATACAAACGAATCCTTAGGCCAGTTGTAATGTGTGTCGCGCGATCAGACGTTTAAAACTAAGCTCGGGGTTACCAGTTACCTCCGATCACATACTCAGAGATACCAGGGTTCGTCTTTGACAGATTTCTTCCCATGGGACATCATCATCAACATAAAATGACCGCTCTACGAGTGCTCGGTGTTCTTGATGGGCATAGAGTAAGCCTATAAGTATGTCTTATTGTTAGAAACAAACGAAATACTATAACAAATACGTTTTCACAATGACTTACATTGGGCGTTTTTAGGCCTTTACAAATAGACACTCAGTTAAAAGGGGAAACGGGGGTAAAAAGTGTAATTATGTTGATTATTTAGGTCGTAATGCGCCGACTATCCCCCTCCCCCCTTTCGTCATTAATCGCCTCCCCAACCTCCCCCGCGACCTTCCTCGCTCCCTTTATTATTTCGTTTCAATTATTTTTGTGATTATCTTTTTATAGCGGGCGCGCATTAAAACTCAAAAAATAACAGGGACATTAAACATAATTAGAATCGAAATAACGAGACGTCTCAGAAGGCGGTTGTTTGCGCCTTTTTATGTGGCAACTTAATCACATTACTTGACAGTCCTTTACCACTGTTTGTCTACACTTTATTAACGTTTACGACATTGAAAAAATAAGTAAATCAAAGAAACTAGAGTAACCATGTCTTTGAAAACAATGAAAGTCGGCTGCACGTAGGAAAAGGGATGACTCAATGTCACGTTCCTGAGCCGAGCGTGTGAGCGAGAGGCACGATCGTTTTTTGACTTGTGATGTTGTTACATACAATTATCTATATCTTTAGATACTAATAATATAAAGAGGAAAGATTTGCATTTTTGTATGTATTGAATAACTCAAAAACTACTAGGCCGATCGTAAAAATTCTTTCACCGTTGGCAAGGTGGATCTATGAGTAACATAGGCGATTTTATACTTACACGCGGACGAAGTCGCGAGCAACAGCTAGTAATCCATAAACTCACTACATAGACAGGTTTTTTTAATTTGATAGAATAATTTTTGTGAAAATAATCGCTATTGTAATAATTTAAGGATGATTTTTAATTATATTTTTTGTTGTCAGGTTTTCACAATACGGAACCAAGTGAGATTTTTTTATATTATAAATAAAATTTGCTAGTTTTGTTAAATCTGTAATTTTTAATTTGTGATTCAATAGTACTGTGGAATAAATACATAAGTTTGCTAGATTGCTGGTTTCCATTTATTTTATAATTACATAGTTCGGAAACGCATTCCATGAAGTTATGGAAACAAAAACACTATCGAATGGTTAAAAATATCTGGGAGACGGTCGTTAACGCATCAACAGTGATAGATAAAGTTATCTCATTGTAATTTGACTTTATTCACCTTTCTTCAATTAAACTTTTATAAATGAATGCGAGTTGCGTATAAAGCATTTGTGTCGTATTAGAATAATCTGAGGTAGTCTTAAGAATGTCATAGACTCATAAATGTACCCCATACTCATTCATCACGGGATATTTTTATTCCTACGCTAACAGAAATATAATACGTAATTATATTTAATACTAAGTCGACGCGTGACTATTGACAATAGAAGTTGGATTTGCCAACCCTTTCATTCAAATTACTAATGAATCGACTCCTATTATAGGGTTTATAACTTTATTGTTTAGTGAATAAAGTTGACATTCCCTTACAAGTCAGTCTGTTAATGCATATTATTATTATGGGCGTTTATGGATGAGCAATTTTTATGATTGTACACGTATTGTGTTTAGTACAGATGTTAAGTTATCGTGAAATAAATCGTTAAAAATCTTTTTGATTGTACGCGGGAGCACGGACTGGAGTCATACCGGTACGTGCAGGGATATAAAATTTTTAATTATGCTATTGTTCTTACAAATATACTGTACTGAATAGCAGCTTAGCGTAGGTTATATTTCGCCTTTGCACTTGTGCCTTATAGTAATTTGATCGTTTTGTTTCAAGCCTCAATATTGTCATAAAATAAATGTCTTGACATATGCTTTATAGGGATGTCTCAAACGTTAAACTCCCGATGTTTTACAGACATAAATACGTTCTTAACTTTAATGGCCCCAAAATATTTCGGTTTAAAAACGTGGAACATTTTTTAATGTATTATCAAAATTTGTCGTTGATAGGCTAAGTAGAGGTGATTCTATTTCATAATAATTTTCTGTTCGATACCAACAAAAATAATTGACAATTATCATTTACTAGCTTTCGCCCGCGACTCCGTCCGCGTGGAATTAAAAAATAACAAAAGTGAGTAGTCTATGTGTTCTTACAGACTATCCTCTACATCTATACCAAATTTCATGGAAATCCATTCAGCCGTTTAAGTTACGAACTCTAAGAAACATTCATCAATCCATCCAGTCTAAACTTTCGCATTTATAATATTAGTATGATTATTTAAATCGTTAAAACATAACACGTTTTTAACTGTAATATAAAATGTTAAAACAACCAAACACTTAAAGCGGTGTTGAATGTTGGTAGTTTTAATTTTTTCGGCCGCTAATTTTCATAAAATTTAAATAATGCAATCCGCGAGCACACGATTTAATTTCGGGCGTGAGGCTAGCGGGCCGGTGAATGATTAAAACGCGTACGTAAGCAGCCCTGCAACAAATGTGCGGTGCTCGCGGGGCCGCGGCCGCTCGCACAGTCCGCGATATGCGTATCACATCGATATCAACATTCAAACCACTACTATTTGATAATCGATTTAATTCACGTATTAAGCTTCGTTTTCACCAACCCTTTGAGTTTCCAAATCTTTACTGAAGGGAAGCACTTAAAGATTCTATATGTGGGATTTTGTGATTGATTGTACAAGCTTTAGGACAAGTACAAAATGAACGAACACGCATGTGCTTGGATTGTTAAAAGTGAAGTTCACAAGTGGCGCATTTTTTTTAAACAAGAAAGTATTTATATTGAATGTAGATAGCTACAAAAGTAGATGACCGAACAAATTATGGATAGATTGTGTGAAAGAGGATATGCTTAAGAGAATGAATTCCGATACGACGGTTGCTAGAGATGTATGGAATAGCACATACTGTGCCGACCCTCCGTAGGGATAAGGGCAAGTTGATGAAATAATCGATGACAGTTGACAGTCGATTTCTACTAAATTAACTATGCGTTTGATATTTGATAGTAGATAGTTACATTTTAATTAACCGATTTTGAAATGCACTTCCGAGGTTAAAATTTAATTAGCTATAAAAACTCACTCGAATCTCACCTAAGAGCGGGGATTGTGTCTAGTTGCAGTGGTAGTGGTGCACACGGGGCGCGCGCACGGAAAATTGAAAGTGACTATACGAAAACACGGTGGACAAGCATTGATGTATCTGTCCGTCTATTATTATATTTAGCCCGTGGGCCGGCCTCGGTGAAAGTGAAACCGATTTCAATTGTTATCCCACTCAGCCGTTAATTGACCGATATTTGTAAACGGGCGCTGGTTCATTTCGTTTTAATCATGCACTAGTTTACGCTTTTCGCGCCATTTCAACATCATTTTCGCGCTGATTCTGTATTGCTTTAAAGTACGGGTTGATTCATTTTATTGTTGATGCAAGCGGAGAGTAGTAGATCTATAGAGTTTTGTACTAGTCTTAAGAAGGATAGTTGAAAAATATGAAGTTTGATGTAGGCACTATACAAACCAGTAAATGTTTCTAGTGTCGTGTCTGAAAGATTATTCAAACTGTTTTGCTCCTGGTTAATACGACAAAATTTCTTTCGTATTTCACTTTTCTTGGAAAATCATAAATTATGTAATTTAATTTGTGTGTTATTTTATTGAAAGTCAAGTTCTATCACAAATACGTAAAGTACATTGTTTTATTTGACTGTTTATAATAATTTATAGTTGTTAAAACTATTTATAATTATCGTTAGTCAACTTTTAGGATTCATGGAATAGCTCGTATATTACAATTAATATTGCTTGTTCGATTACGTTTTACACGAAATAAAATAAAGAAACATAAACTTTGCATTATAAGTAATCTCTGGGGACACTAATTTTATAAATTACTCTACGCCTGAAGTATTTTGCGTGTTTAATAACAATACATTTGGTATTGGACATTGGGCCGAGAAAGTAAAAAACAATCGAACTGCAACAGTGCAAAACTGCACTTTTTTCACATGTTTAAGTTTTCTTTGCTTAATTACATACAGAATTAAATAAACTACAGTCAGACAAATGTATCTGACCAGTTAAGATTAAATTACTATAACATTACGCGCCAAATATATGCTATACATCTTCAAAATCCTTGTCGATTTGTATCTTGCCTACTGGGTGTTCTATGTCTTAAATATTCTTTGACACAACTAAATGCCTCTCGTAGCCAGATAGGTTTGCAGTATACTGTTCTTAATTTAAATCGTTGTACTTACGCTCATTATTCAAAACGCATTCAGCGTTGACAGGTCTTTGAACTACCGTGCGGGTAATTTGAAGAAAATTTTATAGCTGTTGTAACATCACACGGCGTCGTAATCGCGGAAATGCTTTCGCGAGTGTAAAATTCCTTTTAATGTGTGATTTTAATGTCCTCCAAGATATGGACATTACCACTTTATTATGCGCTACGTAGATTTATGTTGCATGAAGTTTGTTATTTGAAGACAATATTTCTTTTTGAAACGAGGAACTTCTACTTAAAAAGATCTTATAGTAACTTTATCATAAGCGTGCGCAAACCTGAAATTAAACTATCGCACAACTGTTTGGTCGCGCTTTTAATCCTATGATCTTATATGGTCTTGACATTACTTGATTCTTAGTTGTGCAACTAAACAGAATTGACTACGAAACAATCGACAATCGCACTTGTGCGATAGTTTAGTCAAAGGTTGTCTGCATTTACAACACTAGATGAACTACAAGAATATTGTAGCTTGTAGGTTCCCAAATGCCTAAATTTCTTCATTCTATCTTCTTCATTAACGCAGCTTTTATCTCTTTTATGCTTTACATCAGCATTGACCTTAGGGCGTAGTTAGGCCACCGCCCAGGGCACTGGACCGAAAGGGTCGCCATTGTGAATTGCACTGTCACATACTAACCGTCTATAAAGCTGATCAAAAGGACCTTAGAATTCTCGCCCAGGGCGCTAGAAGTAGCGCTGTTGCTTTGGATATCTGCGATTGATTTACATGGAATCGAAATATTTTATAAAGTAAATAAGGCGATTATTTGTTCCTCAAAAAATATAAAATCTCCGCGGAGACGGGTGCGGGCGCGTGCGTGAGAGCCCTCAGGGCACACTCGTCGTACAAAAGCTCTCATTGCCCTTCCACGTTCCGCGATCACTTATTATATCCGAACGCTATTGTTCTAAAATTACATTCACGCGGGAAAGTCAATTGTGCGAACCCGCTTTATATTTTTATACCGCCTCAATGTTCGCGAAATTTCTAAATCTTTAATTCGTAAGTTTTAAGGTTAGTTATTGATTTTGCGAGAAAACTAATAAGGAATAAGTTATACGGAGATTTTGGTTTGTTTAACTATACTTTTTATTGTACTTGTAGTTTGTAGGTTTTTGTTCGTGTCTAAATAGTAAATAACCTACATACATATAAGATTTTTAGGTTTTTTTTTTAAAGTAATTCTATTAAAATAAAATATTAATGTTTTGATTTACTTTGTAGAAGGTGTTAATTGTTTTATTTTATCCTTAGTAAAAAAAGACGTAAAAGTTTCCCAATGTACTTTGTTGTAAACTTTACTAAGCAAATTCTCACAATAGCTTGATTTATTTCAACTTAAACAGAAACGGAATAAATAAAAAATGTATCAAAAATGTATTTGAATAAAAGTTATGTTCAGCCAGCATTACAATCGACCCTAGAGAATTAGAAATCAGCTCGCCGCCATCGAAAAAAAAAATTATAATTATAAAGCGCGCGTAATTCTAATTTCGAATTCAAATTAAAGCCGCCTAATGCGCGGGAGCGAGCCTGTGAAAAAAAAAGAGTTGACGAGTCGCTCGCGGAGGGTGGTAATTTTTCATTAATTTAAGTTCACCCTGTTTTGTTTGCTTTTAATCGCATTTCTAATTAATCCCGTCGAGAATAACGTGACAACTGTCGACTATGGCGGCGGCCATTTTATTTTTTTCGGGAGCCGTAGTATATAGCGGCAGATGTCGGCCGATTTCCATTTGTTTCTGAGATTAATGATTCGTTGCGATTGTGAATTTTTCCGGCCTCGGCTTTTGTTGTTTTAGAAGCAATTTGTCCGCTTACTTTTGTCGAGAGGCATTCGTTAAAGCCTACACCGATCATGTCGGTGTTGAATAGAAATACAAAAGAGGTCCGATCTCCGATCTACGATCTCCGATCCCGAGATAAAATAATCTCTTTTAAATCTCCGCTTAGTATTCGTTTACTTGGTTCATTTCACTTTTAAAATACTTGTCGATTTAACGATCGATGTGGAAAACTATACACTAACGAGCAAGGTTAGTTGTTATTTTGTTTAGAAAGAATGTAAAAAATCGGCCAATACCACACGACTAATTTGTATTATTATCCCATAATTTTCGCAACTCATTGCTACCTGAAAGGTTATTTATAAGGAGTTTGTGTCGTAAGAAACAAAAGAATTATTCTAATCAAAGGACACCACGTGCTTCAGCAACTGTACTTGTCTTATATGGGTCTTTGAAATGTCGGTTTCAATAAGTTCGAAAGATTTGTATTTCACTATACTTGCTGTCCTTTAAATGCTAAAGGAATCACTTCTTGAAGAATATTTCAGTTATATCTTTACAAATCAGGTATATCTGTTATCAGTTTACATTCCAGTCTGGTAGAGAATAGGATCTTCGAGACTAACGCAATCAACGCACCGCCGGGGATGGGTTCAGAACGCACTCGTCTGACGCAAGACGAGGGTAGAGGGGTGCGAAGCGGGGCGACTGACCCCCAGCAACGTTTAAGTCAATGGACCCAATTGCTACACTGTTTAAACTATTTTGGGGAAAATCATTAAGATTTCGTTGCAATCTTTTTATTTCAGGTGATAGAAATATGGTTTATCATATATTAATAAATTATTGTCTAATGGACGAAAAGATTTAGGCCTTTAAGAATGTAGAAGGACAATATTGTATCTAAAAAAATGTTTCGGGTTAAAGTTAAATCTAATTTTATTGTTAGACTTCAAGTTTGTTATAAAAATTAAAAATGTATCTCAATTTTCACATAGAAGAGATAAGACCGCTATATGTGACAAAAGCAGTTTGTTACCATATAAAAACATAGATATACTAGTAGTATAGGCGAGGAAATTGTTTAGTGCAAGGTATAAACACATGCCAAAACTCTGTCGTCGACGCCGAGCCTTAAGTCTGCCTTACATATTACGTGTCTATAAAGCCAGTGCCTTTATCGTCCGCAGTACACTATAAGTGTCTACCGCCTGTAAATTTTCGCAACGGCGATCTGCGGCCGGTCTTTGTACTATTAATTTGTAATGTCCACCTCGCCCCTCTCGCCCCCAGCCTCGCCTAGATGCATCGCCCGGGTATACGAGGTGTAGATACTACGGATAAGTCTAACGCCTAACTGCGGTATACGATAAATGTAGTCTTCTGTAACAAACAAGATACGAAATTAAGGTAACAACGAAATATAGGAGAAGACAAAAACTTTAGGTACCGAATAATTTTATATTGGACATAGTTTTTATTAATGTAATATTTTTTATTTTTATCTTATCTTTTGGTGTACTGACTTTATCTTATTTTTTCAAGTTACTTGTAATTTTTATTAAAAGAAAGTAGGCCAAGGCGAAATGTAGTTATAAAATAATCCTGTCGGATATCTCAAGACATATCTCACACATTGACGTCGTGTAAATCCTTGCCGATCTTCAATGGGGGGCCCGCGTTTCCGATAGGATTAAGCCAGACTTACTGCTCGGTCAGAACACGGCGCGACGCAGTAACCTCCCCCCAGGCCCCCTCCCAAACCTAACCTCTCCCCCCACGCCGGCCGCATTAGGAGCAATCATATTCGACGGCTGCTACGTTTTGGCATCAGTTCGTGTTGCTTAGGCCGGGGCTATTTGCAGAACAATGATTGGTGGTGTCTTACTTTGTAAAGGTCGATAAGGTTCACTATCGCTTGCTTGGTATGCAGAGTTGATTGGAGTGGTAACGTCGACAGTATTTGTTTATGTTGAGATCTTGCTTATCTAAGTATCGTTTGTACGACATTTGAAATAAATTCATTCTTAAATACAATCCTCTTTTATCAATTATGATTAGATTTTAGACCACATTAGAACCGTTGTTTATTTGCCTCCTTCTATTAAAAATGTTATGTTACGTTTCGCTGGCGACTCTGTTCCTGTGAATTTAAAAGAAAAAATAAACGTACCTGTGCAGCCTATATGTTCTTCCAGACTATTCTCTACATCTATGCCAAATTTCATCGAGATCTGTTCAACAATTTTGGCGGTAAAATCTAACATTCATCCATACATCGAAACTGTAGCTTTATAATATTAGTAAGGTGGAATTATAAAATTATTTCATATTTACGTTATCTTTCTATACTTTAGAGTAAACTATTCGGAACAAAACAATAATAAAATACATTCAATGTGAAACAGAACACGGAATCTTATCGAAGCACTTAAATACATCGTTAACCCGATGTATTGTTACGTCTACTAGTGTGTAGCTACCTTTATTTGCATTAAATAAATTCCACAGCATTACAGCATTATTGAACAAGCGTTTCCAATAAACTTAAGAAGATATCGAACATCTAAGCGCAATTTCCACGAAACGATCAAGATCAGTTGGATATAAGCTTTATTTGTTTCTGGATTTAACGATTTTCATGGAAATTAACAGGAATATCATACTTCTATCTAATCTTACTATTACAAATGCGAAAGTATAGATAGAAGTTTGTTTAAACGTATCTCCGGAACGACTCAAGATATCAATTATATTTGGAACAGATGTTTAGGCACTAAATATTTAGGCCTGTTCTATCTTACTAATATTATAAATGCGAAAGTTTAGATGAATGGATGGATAGATGGATGGATGTTTGTTAGCGTTTGTAGCCTAAACGGCTGAACGGATCTCCATGAAATTTGCCACAGGTTTAGAGCATAGTCTGGAAAAACACATAGGCTACTTTTTATCCCTGGAATAGTTACGGTTCCCGTGGGATTTATTAATTTAGTTTTTTAATGTTTACTCGATCATTCTACAACGGTTCAACATATCTTCTTGAAATTTGGCACAGATATAAAACAAAGTCGGGAGTACACATGGGATAAGCTTCATCCCCGAGAAATGTCCGGTTCCCGAGACATACGCAGCTTTTTGTAATTTTTATAGTTTGTGTATTTTCTAATACTACGCGTACGAAGTCGCGGGCAACAGCTCGTTTATAATAAAAACCAGGGAGTTGTTAACGCTCTTAGCTGAAGTAATTTTTATATCTATATGCTTTTAACCAATAGTAGAATTTTTCCCAATAATGTTTTTGTAATTCACAAAAAAAGCTTTCTTTAAATTCACTTCTAAACTCTTAATGAATAGAACATTCCATAGTCGATATTTCACAACCTACACTAAGATGTGCCCTAAGTAACGACTAAATAGCTATATGTTAGGCGAGACGCGTCGCGAGCAACACGCACCCCCACGATACGGTGGCGGGGTTCAGGTAAATAACGCGCGGGGATTTCCTTCATTCCAGTAGACGCGATTCTTGACCTATTTGCGGCATCACGTTGAGGCAGGTCAGGTACGGCGGCCATTTCTTTCTCAGAGGTCGCTCTTCACTCATATACCTCATACGTTTGTTAAGAAAATTGTCTTAAGTTTTATTAATTTACTTTAGTTAAGAATAAATTGATAATAAAACAGACTATTAAAAAACGAACATTTACAAAATTATAATCTAATCTACACACAAAACAAAATAAGAGAAACACTTTTGTACAATTTAGGAAATCCGAGGTGTTCCACTTTCGGAATAAATGCCCCATTCATTGTCGCCTCTACCTAAAAATAACTAATTAAATAGCAGTGAGTTGTGCAAATGAAAGGATATTAAAAAGAAACTAGTCATGTATCACTAATCGATATTTCATACATATTTACAAGCGTTGTATTTTTGTTTCGCGTATTTAAAATGTTCAAAGGATTGTAGCTTAAAGTGGAATACCGCCAGTTTCCACGAGTATACAAACGCATCAACGTTACGTAAGTTATTGGTGAATTAGAGCTTGATGTTATTATGTTTGTGCAGACGAGTCGGGATGCGAGGCTGATATGCTGGAGGGCGCGGAGGCGTGCCGGCACTCGCCGCCCCGGCCGCAGCAGGAGCCCATCAATCTCAAGAATGAGGTAAGTTCATTACAATCGTCACAACTTAGGTCTCCAACATTTTTAACTTAAGGATTTGGGAATCGGAATCTTCTGGAATGGTCCTTGTTTCGAATTCCGTTATGAAACAATGTGATTTTTGAATTTCATATGTACATATATTACAAGACGTTCTTACGGTAAAGGAAAACACCGTATGCTGTACATATCGTTAAAGAAATTCAAAGATATATGTGAAGTCACCCAGCAGTGGTCCAGCCATGACCATGGCCTAGATATCGCTCACTTAAGGAAGGTTCCGAGCCCCTCAGTGGGGTTTTATAGTGAGCTAATTACGATTGTATATTGACATTTTGGGTATTTTTATGAAGAAATTTAAGGAAGTACATGAGATTAACTTTTAATGATTTATTCAAAATAATAATTAAAAAGTTATTTTAGTAAGTCTAGTTTATTTAGAGCGTTTATTACACTAACTAGAGCGCCTCTTCTCAACACGAGAGGTCGCCGCCGTGCTGGGCTATTCGAGTACCATCCGACTAATAATAACAAGTGACACTTTTCTTCATGTAACTTAAACTTAAAAGAATATATATTAAGTATAGAATACTTCGTAACTTTTAGATAAAGGTAATTTTTAGTTGATGTTTTTAGTTCTTCCGTAGTTTAGATAAAATTTTGATGTTTGAATGTTCATCGTTGGTAAAAAGACCAATACTATGTTGTACACTAGAAGACAGTTATTTTTATAAACATTTATTTCATAAGAAAATGTACGAGGATCTAAATTATTTTTATTTTCATATACTGATTAGTTATTAAAATGTAATTTGATGCGACATGTTACATTTCCTTATGAAAAAATCACACTAAAGTAGTATTCTCATATGTAATAAGTTATGTAATAATTTACATACGGTAAGAATTTTCATTGTATCTCTCATTACCGTAGCAAAATAAAAACACGTGGAAGGTGTCAGGAAAGCAATAGAGCGTAGACATTGTACAGCGATGCGGAGCACACGTCCGCAGAAAATTAAAACATCGCAACAAGGACAAAGTGGGGTGCGAATAAGCACGCTTAATTCTCAAGTGTTGACCGTCGAGTTAGCGCAGGCCGGGAACCGAGCACGGAGCTTCACGGAGCTACACGGAGCGGCACGGAACCTGGGACTCAAAAGGTCCGCGATTGCGCCGAAAGACCAAACATCCACCGCTTCGTTAGAGGCCTCCGAAAAAAAAAGTCCGAAGCGATCCGCCGCCGACCAATCGGCGTAGTACCCGCGCAGCCTACTTGCCTCAGAATCTATAGTATCGATTAGTGAGCGCTTTTTTACCCGCACGCACTCACACACCGCCGCGGTGGGGGCATGCCTTTTTAACAATCTTTTTTTCGACCACCCCTCGGCCCCGAAACCGCCATGTCCATTGCGCGCATGCAAAGACCACCCCGCACCCCACCCCTCATATAGCAGCATTGAAAATGGAATTTCCATGAGTGATGGAGTGTCAAACGGGAAGCAAAAAGGAGTAAAAGAGCATTATGTTAATTATTGAACGCATGCCCCCGCCGCGCCGTCGTCAGAGTTTAAATTGAATGTCATGTCATATTGTGTCGAGGTCCTCGCTCTGTGTCTCTTCTATTCCGCTCTCTGCTTCCAATTCGTTAACATTTTTTTCGTACGTGCTTTTTTGCTGATTAAACAAGTCCACTCTTGTAACTATGTCCTGTCTAAAGCTAAGGGTTTCAAAATGACATTTGGCACAAAAAGGAACCTTTTATGGCTGAATTTAGAATTCTCTTTACCGTATAAATTTCATCATTTATTTAATTTTCGAACTTTGTACAGCACCTTTGATTGTAGTAACAATTAACTTAGATCCAATCTTAGTTACTTTTTAAAAAATTTGGAACCATTTCACAACATAGTTCACGTCCCGTACTTATGCTTCTTTATTCATTCTTAATATACATTTAAACATTACATAAAAAATAACTATGTTTATTATAGTAAAGAAATTTAAAAAATTCAAGCGCAATCATTCCTCAAAATTAAATCTCATACAAATTATTAATCGTATTCATTGCATTAGCTAAACGCCCCGAGCGCCGGCGCTGAAAAGCAATCGCAACAAAAAAAGACCTCTTCCGCGCTCTCGAACGCCATCCTTACTTCCTTTTTAACCCATTCCGCCATTTACCCTTCTTTCTTTTGCTTGTGAGATTTATAAGAGCCACGTGTTTTCATTGACAAGCTCGAAACTTTTTTCAAAAAGTGCGAACACGTGTTTTTTATTAACTCTATCTTTTCCCGTTTCTTTATCAAATAAATACGTAATAGTTAAATGTAACTGGCAGGAATTACACAGTCAACTACTTTTTAGAAGTCGAGCGTTTTGAACGCTACATTGTTTTCCTTTTTTGAAAATTCGGGCGTGTAATAAGAACTCGTGTTCTTTTTTTAAAGAGTTCGAGGGGCGTGTGTGGCAGGCGCACGCTTCGACAACGCAGCCAACTATTCAGATAGACGCATTGCTAATGGAAACCCCCGAAAAATATCGTGGCGGAAAAAAGTTCCCAAAAAAAATCGCCAAGCACATTTGAATGAAAATTGAGTGGGGGTGCGCCGCTCGGACCGACGGCCGATCGGCTATTATTATTATTATTACCGGCATTATATCTGCAATTTTTTTCCCGCGCACACAGCCGCGCGTACGCCATTTTTATTTTTCTTAGTTTTTTTTCCCGCGCCCGCCCGCTGCCCGGCCCGCCCCGCAGCCGCGCACACGTACAGCGTCGGATGCGAGCGAACTATGCGATGTCTACAAGTGGACGAACATTTAAATTGGCTCTCATCAAATATTGACTACGTGTAGTTTTTTCATTAACCGGTCGGCTTTTTGTAACCCTGATACCGTTGCAGTTCGATTTCTATTGCTCTTCGCTTTTGATACCGAATGTAATACGGCTAGTTAATTACTTCAAATTCAGATAGAAGCGTAGCCACCTAACGAAAGGTTTACAAAAAAGACTCCATACATCAAATTGCATCTACGTTAAAGGTTAGTAAATATCCTTGTAAATTTATCAAACAATTCTTGTTGTAATTTAGGTATAGAAGAATAATTGAATTCTGTTCAAGGTGCACCGAACTCAGCCAACTAGATTAGGACAACGAAAAATTTTTGTGGAAATCCTTGGGGAAGGATTACATTTCGACTAATAATAATTGAAATGTGTTCGTACAAAACAATTTATCATAAAAATAATAGTAAAGATGAAACTTCCACTTGTTTATCTTACAATTATTCATATGTGTGTCGTTGTCATATTCACCGTAAACCGTGTTTAATAAAATTAAAAAATGCAAAAAATCATAATTAAAGGGGTGGCGGCGAGGGGATGCTACCCATTTTTTATTTTAATTGGCTTGTAAATTACCAAAGTTGTAGTGAAATTGTTCCTGAGGTGGGTTGCATCGTTTTTATTTTAATTGTATATATTTTAACACGTTCAGTTTAGTTAACCATGTTTTTAAACGCATGTTTTATTGTCTGTGTACATTGAAGCAGATGTAAATATTGCTATCTTTATTTTTTCTCTTAAAAATATAGAGATAGCATGTTTAATAGATATCCGAGCGGTAAAATTGAATAGATCTGTTTTGTTCTTAATCTGTTTTAAAATTATGCGTATTTTTAAAAAATATCTGTATTATTTGATAAAATAAAGGTCCACAAATACGATAAATCAATACATCAATATGAAAATAAACAAAAAAGCGATATTAAGATCTATCATAAGTCTTACTAATATTATAAATGCAAAAGATTAGATGATTGGATGGATGTTTGTTAGAGTTGAAGCCTAAACCTCTGAATCTACATGAAATTTGGCATACGTGTAGAAAATAGTCTAGAACACATAGGCTACTTACTTTTTTTTAATTCCACGCGGATAGAGTTGCAGGCGAAAGCTAGCTATATAACAGTATCAAATTTATCAAACTCTCTTTCAATTCGTTACACTCATCAGTCGAAAATTTCCCATCAAACGGTATATTCAATCAAACGTGCGATCGTCTTTTTTCATCACTTGGGTTCCCATGTCTCTGTGCATTTACTATGAGATACGTCTCTGTTGACATTACCCTGGCCCTACCGGTTTCGGAAAAGCCAGCATCTGATTGATTGGTACTCGAAATGGAGTATTGAGGGAAAAAACATCGTATACACTAGATAGGGCTAGATAAATCAATTAGTAACTTGTAAGAGAAAGAATTGATAGATGTTCTCTTATTCTTACTAACCTAAACTGCTGAGCGGATTTCGACGAAATTTGCCATAGATGTAGAGGATAGTCTGGAAGGACACACAAGCTACTTGCTTTGGTTTTTTTTCTTTCCACACGGACGGAGTCGCGGACGAAAGCTAGTATGAAATAAATTTATACGTTTCCGCTTGCATTGGATTATATAATATTCTAAATATTACGGTAGAATTTCAAACTTAAAGAAAGAGTGGTTAAATATTGAATTTCGAGTGTATTTTTTTTACTCCTAATGTCAAAAACAATTGAATTCTTTCTAAAATTTTCCCACGTTTTCTACATTTTTTTTCTTTAAAATAAAGAGAGAAAAAAGCCTCAAGTCTGAATACACACAATAATAAAAGAATACCCAGTAAAATATTCATAAGACAAACACGTTCGAAATCAGTTGACAACGCCTGCAGATGTAGGCCCGACTCACACCCGAATTTCGATACACCAACATGCGGAGCTTTGAGGAGAAAAGGTGATTAAACATAAGAGCATAGAGACGAATATCGCTTGTAAGTCAAAAACGTCTCTTGAGGCAGGGTTGGCACAAATAAATCTCGTGGCCGGCCGCGGCGGCGCTGGCCGCGGAGGACGGACGTGATTGATCAAAGTCGTTTGTCAGGCTCGCGTGGCGGCGGCAGCCCTGCGCAATTAGCACATGATTCTGGTCGCTCTAATGCGCGCATTTAGTTTTCATTAG